TTTAGAATTAAAACCAATAACACGAACCACTCCATGAATACCAAACATTTGCCATGACAGTACTGCAAAAATTTACTGTTTGTGTTGACAACGTAAGAAGCAATGAAACCAAGTGTAAAGTGTTCTCTCAAAGATCATATAAGACTTCCTTTATGTAATAAAATTTCTAATCACCGTTAGCAAGAAAGAAAATTTGTAATTTGTAATTCTTTCAAGTAAATCGAGTTTAGGAAAATCCTACATCCATGACAGATACAACTTCTATAGATATAAACGTGTCATCAATCTAATAGGGAGAAATATAATAGCCAGAATATTTTCCAACAAGTGATGTGAACACCACAGTGAATTTTAAGAAGATTACCCAGAACTGCAAGTATCCTCCATTGAACAAAAAGTCCAAGCAGATAAGCCAGCATTATCCCAATGGTTACAGAGAGCTACAGAACAAGGATTAAAGTTTAAATCATCTGATGAGAGATATATGTTAGTAACTACTAACAGAAACTCATGATAAAAATAAGCTACTAAACAAGGCCAACCTGATTGACTGAACCCAAAGCACCTCTTAAGTTTTGGGGTGCTATCTCAGCTATATATACAGGCACCTAGCAATGATCAACCAAGTCAGTACTCTCACAGTTACTCACCACACATAATTCCAAAGACATCACTGAAATAACTCAACACTACCGTGTACGAGATTATTCCCACGCCAAATCCTTCCAACAGTCTTCCCATGTAGAGAAAAGAAGAATCCTACAAAAAGAATTAAAGTTGATGTAAGACAGCATATTCCTGACTGCATTCTGTTCATGTCTAGATTCCTATAAACCGGTACAGTCATGAAAACTCACTTTGGCAAATGATATAGCAAGCCAGCCGATAACATTAGGAATGGCAGCAATCATTAAAGACTGCAATGAATAAAACCCAGTCTTAGAATTAAACAAAAGAACGTTAGTCAAAGATGCTACGCTTAATAAGGAATAGAATTAGTGATCAAATCCTACCCCTTTGCGACCAATATACTCAGCAATCTGACCGCTGGCTATAGCTCCTACCATGGCACCCACATTCGATAAAGAACCAAAAAGAGAATACTGACCCAGATGATAATAGTTAGAAACTAAAACCAATCAAAAAAACAAATCCAGTATGCAAATACACATTAAAAAAAGCTGAGATTCAAACCTCTGACACTGTGAGTCCAAGATCCTTGGTGATTGCTGATTGGGTTGGAGAAGAATATCCAGACTGCAGGAACGAAAAATGTGATTCGTAAACAGATATGAATAGAGGAAAGGTATAATCAAGCTCAATATTCTCATTTCTTGAGCTCTCTGCAATCAAAAAGCTCAACTTGTCCAAAACTCAATCAGCTCAGGCTCTCTAATTGCGAAAAAAACAAATTGAAGAAGAAGAAGAAGAGCGAGCTATGCTTACGGTGAAGCCGAATTGGATAGGACCCAAAGCGACAATCATAACACAAGCCACCACAGAAATGGAGCTATCTCGAATGACCTGGGACGAGCCCATCATACTGGATTGCCTGGAACCCATGCGGTACCAGCTCCCAGTGTGCAGGAAGGGCTTCCTGAGATCTCTCCCCTCTTCATTGTCTTCCCTGAAACTCATTGTGGCCTCTGCGATCAGAGAAACAGAGAAAGTTCACTGCGCGCAAAACGCCCCAGAGAAGAGAAGACGGTAAATAGAAGATGAATAAGGGAGCCTACAGGCTTACTCTATGATTATAGTGTCCAATCGTCCGTTTATCGTGTCCTGCACTGCTGGCCTGTAAGTCCAGCTCCGCACCTTGCCGTTACCAACAGATTCGTGCTGTGACTGTGCAACCGAGCTCACCTTCTGCCACGTCGGCACCACATATTATAATTCGTGTGGATTAATATTATAGTTCATGCGTGTTCTTATCTTATGATTGTCTATCTGTAACTTTCTATTTTTTTGATGAAGTCTATCTGTAACTTTCACCAATGAGTTGTTTTAATGTTTTTTTTTTTTTTCAATATAAGCGATAGTTTAAATTTTAAATTAATTTAATTTACAAAGAGAATAACTCAAATTTGAATGTAAAGGCACATGTCTATTGTTATGACTAACTGACTTAACTTAAATATGTCTTTTTAATAGTTTTAAGTAGACGTCAATTATATAGTCTTATGCTTTTTTAAGAAGGATTATGATTTTTATGTATAAAGATTAGGTTTTTATATGCTAATTAAATGAATATGTTGTTAGCATGTTACTAGTGTGTGTGGTTGTAGGTAGGCTCGTGGGTCTCGTTAGCCACTATCACCATCCGTCCTTTGAGTTTGGACAACTTGTACATGGTGGTAGAATAGTAATCAATGATAAGTAGTACCGTCCTCTTTTTTCAAAAAAACTTACTTATAATGAGAATAACACTATTTTGCTATATTCGGTCAATAACACAATGACACGTGCAAAATTTATTCTATGTATTATTACATTATTAACCAGAGATATCTCATCGAATGAGAGTTTCTCTCCTCCTCTCCTCCTCTCCCCCTCTTTCTCTAGTATTGTTATTGTGGACAATTCTTCTTCAATAATTATTTAGGCTTTTGTTTGTACCAGCTTTCAGTTCCTTTTGCTTTATTGACCACCTACCTACCAATTGGTCCAATTCAATCAAAACTGAACAAAAAAAAACCCACGTGATTTTGGACGGTTTTAGATTATCTACTAATTTCAACCTAATTGTTGTTTGCTTTATCAGAAATCTCAACACACCCAACTTTTAACTTATTGACAAATAATACATCTACTATAATAAGATGCCTGCTATCCCTTAAAAGAAAAATGAAAAAAGCAGTTGTATATATACCTAACAGTCCTTAATCAGTTTTAGACGCAAACACCATTTGTTCAGAATCGCAATCACAAGTCTTGTTGAAAACTTTGAACTCTGTCTCGTCATCCTCCGAGGTCAATCACTCAGTATCTTTTCTTTCATGTTTATGATTAAGGGTTTTTCATATCTAAGGACTCAGTGCTATTAGTTGTGTAATTATTCATTATATGTTGCAATTTATTTAGTTAGGTTTAAAACCATTAAAAAGACCAATTTGGGTTGGGTCTGTTGATATCTCGTAATCTTTTTATGTTTTGTTACTGAATTGGAACCATGATGAATTGAACCCATCTTGGGTTGGGTAAGCGATGATCTAAGAATTGGGAGAGGCCCAGACCGATACATACTTCATCAGGCAAACTTTCGGTTTATACTGGGCTTTACAAGGCCCAGTCAATAACTTTATTGCGTCATGTTTTGTTCTGCCAAACACGTTATAACGGGCCTCAGGCCCAAAACACAAAATAGAAGAAGAAGAAGAAAATAATAATAATTAATGTTGTACTGCAACTGGAGTAAAGGTGTCAAACAGGCCGTGCTGGGCCGGTCCGTCCCATTTAAACTCGTGCTTTTAACATTTTCGTGCCGTGTTGGGTCGGCTCATTTAATTTATCGGGCCGTGCCGTGCCGGCCCATTTAATAAAATCATTGATCCCGGCCCGGCCCAAAGCCCATGTCCACATTGAAATGGGCCGAGCCGGGCTCGTGCTGTGCCCGTGCTCGGGCCATACTCGGGCCTAATAACAAACCCATTTAATTTGAATTTTTTTCTCTTGATTTTTTTTTCCACTAGATAATTCAAATTATAAACATTAAAAATATAATTAGAGGCAAGAAATGATGAACTATTTGAAAATATTACTCAATCCAAAATCCAAACAATATGAAGGGACGGAGGGCAAAAAGTGTCCAACTCCACAAAGTCCACTTCAACTTTTCATCTTTAAACAACTTATTATTTTATATGTGAAGAAATGTCTTGCTTTGATTATAAGAGGAGCGTATATGTCATATTTATTGATTAGATATCAAGTCCAATGTTGTTTAATTGTTTAATTAATTTGTAGTTGATATGTTTAATTAATTAAGGACCCAAATAATTTCCCTAAAATAAAAGACATCAAATATATGTTTATGATTTTTTTTAAAAACATATAAACAATGACATTATATGTCAAATTATTGTATTTTGACTTTTTGAGAAGAAAAAAAAATGCTAAATGAGCCGGGCTTGGGCCATGCTTGGGCTCGTGCCGTGCTTGAAGCGGGCTGGGGCCAAGCTCAGGCTATGTCAAGCCATGAGCCCGCCCGATCCATTGGACCTATTTTTTGATTCCGACCCGGC